TCTGAGAGGCAGCAAAAGTAGATGTCATTGTCCAATCATCTACTTTTCTAGTCCTAAGGACAGACTGACTCTTCTAAAAATTTTTTTCCTTTTATTTTTACTTGACACATAATAACTGTACATATCTATGGGATACAGAATATTTCAATACATATATTCAATGTGTAATGATCAAATCAGAGTAATTAGCATATGTATCACTTTAAACATTTAGTCTTTGTGTTGTGAACATTCAAAATCCTCTCTTCTAGTTTTTTGAAAATATACATTAAATTATTGTTAACTGTATTCACCCTACAGTGCTACAGAACCCTAGAAGGTATTCCTCTCTAGTAGTTGTAACTTCATATCCATTAACCAACCTCTCCTCTACTGTTCCCAGCCTCTAGTAACCACAATTCTACTCTTGACTTCTACCAGCTCATTTTTAAACTCCCACATGTGAATGAGAAGTTGCAGTATTTATTTTTCCATGCATGACTTATTTCACATAATGTAATGTCCTCCAGGTTAATCCATGCTGCTGCAACGGACAGGATTCCATTCTTTTGTAGTTCAATATATTCCATTGTGTGTACTACATTTATCCATGTATCTGTCTATGGACATTTAGGTTGATCCCGTATCTTTGCTATGGCGAAAAGTGCTTCAATCCAATAAACATGAGGGTGCAGATATCTCTTCAATATACTGATTTATTTTCCTTTGGATAAATGCCCACTAGTGAGATTGCTGGATCATATGGTAGTTCTATTTGTAGGTTTTTGAGGAAGCTCCATACTGTTCTCCATTGTGGCTTTACTAATTTACATTCCCACCAACAGTGTCTAAGAGTTCCCTTTTCTCCACATCCTTGCCCGTATTATTATTTTTTGTCTTTTTTTAGCATGATAGTCATTCTAACTTGGTGAAGTAATATCTCATCGTGGTTTTGATTTACATTTCCCGGAGGATTAGTGATGCTGAGCATATTTTCATATACTTCTTGGCCATTCGCCTATCTTCTTTTGAGAAATATCTATGCAGGTTCTCTGATCATTTTAAAATCAGATTGTTTTTTGCCGTTGTGTTGTTTGAGTGTCTTGTGTATTTGGTATATGAGTCCCTTATTGGATGAATAGTTTGCAAATGTTTTCTCCCATTCTACAGGTTGTCTCTTCACTGTGGATTATTTCGTTTGCTCTACAGAAGCTTTTTTGTTTGATATAGTCCCTCTTGTCAATTTTTGGTTTTGTTGCCTGTGCTTTTGAAATCTTACTCATACAATCTCTGCCTGGACCAATGTCCTAAAGCATTTCTTTCATGTTTTATTATTCTAGTAGTTTTGTGGTTGCGGGTCTTACATCTAAGTCTTTAATCCATTTTGATTTGATTTTTGTGTATGGTGAGGTAAGGGCCTAGTTTCCTTCTCTTGCATATGGCTATCCAGTTTTCCCAGCACCATTTCTTGAAGAGGGTGTTCTTTCCCCAGTGTGTGTTCTTGGTGACTTTCAGACTGACTTTTTGATTGCCATTTGTGTTCATCCCAGCTGCTCAGCTGGACTGTGAGGCTTTGGCTAGATAGAGAAACTTGGTACCTCTTTGTTGAACAGAGGTGTCCTTTCTACAAAGGATTTATCCAAGAAGGGTCCTCCCAGCTCAGTGCCACCTCCTCTAGGAAGGTTTCCTTGACCACCCTACCTGGAAACACTTTCTCATTTAATCATTCCTTTAACATGCCACAAATTAAAGTGGCCCTAGCTAGGACATCCATCCCAAAGGCCTGCTGACCTCATCCTGTCCCTGGAGACCCTAGAACCATCCCCAGGCTGCTCCTGAGCCCTGGGCAGCCTTCTTCAGGGTCAGGATGGTGCCAAAGAATGGGCTCAGCTTTGGGGCAACCATGACTGCATTAGGTCCCAGTGTGGCTACTCCCTTGTGTGCCCTTGGGCAGGCTTCCAACTGCCATGCCCACAAATATAAGATGGGAATAATTAATGCTGTTCTTCCCCTGCTCGTGTTTCTCAGCACCTGAGTGATTGCATGAGACTCATTTTGGCCAATGGCTTTTGAGCAAAAATGATGTATGTCATTTCCGGGCTGGCTCGTGTCATCACTGATGCAAGGCCCTCCAAGCCCTTTCTCTGCCATGGGGACCAGCCGTGTTTCTGATGGCAGCTGCTCTGCCAGTCTGGGTTGCAGAGTCAGAACAAAGAGGACATGGAACAGAAGTCCCTACCAGCCTTCAAAAGTCATAAGTGAGAGACAAACCTGGTAGAGGCCATGGAAATGAGAGGTTGCTGGAGGATAACTTAGCTTCCTTCACTGATACACCTCGTGGAGCTGTAAGGAGCGAGTGGTGGCCTATGTGAACCCGCACAGGGCTCTGCCTGGCACTATGTGGGTATTCAAGAAATGGGATCTTTTTGGTGGCTCCAGGAGACCCGAGAGGCAGAGACTATGTGACTCAGGCAGATGTTCCACATCCAGACACAAGAGTCAAAGGACACCTAGGGGGTCCAGAGGGGCCCCTCAGGGACAAATAAATACACACTTATTCTGCTCCCAACTCCAGGCTGGGCTCAACCAATGGGTACTGTGCAACTGCCTCTCCGAGGAAGAGAGACTCTCACTGAGTCGATTGATGGGCAGGGGAAAGGCGTGTGACGGGAAGAGAGGGTATGTGACAGCACAGGGGAGATTATAGGGACTGCAAGCTTGCCCCATCCCCACAGCAGAAAGGCAGTGGCAGAGACCTGGCTGAGTGGCGGTCCCCTTTCTGGCTTTTCAACACCTGACTGGAGCTCTCAGACAGGGTGTCCCCACCACTCCCTCACCCAACAGACTGAGCACAGGCACCTGAAATTAGGCCCAGCGTCACCGTTAACTGGCAGTTTGACCCTAGGCCTCAATTTCCTCTTCTGTAAAACGAAGATCATACACACGCTTGCCCTGTGTACCTCACAGGAGCCCTGTGAGACTCAAATATGAAAATGGGTATGACAGACCTTTCAAAACATGGCAGTTCTTTGAGAATGCAAGTTGATTTCAGAGAGTTAAATCTCACACTTCCCACGGAGCTGAGCAGAGCAGATCATTTTATCCCCATTTCAGAGATAAGAAAACACAGGCACAGAGGTTAGGTGACTTGCTGAAGGTCCCACAGCCGGTGGGTAGCAGAGTTGGGGTCACGCTCTGGGTCCTGTGAGTCTGAATCTAGTCTCTGCTTCACCAAGTCATCTCCCTACAAAAACCCCCGTGGAAAGAAAATCCCTGTGGATCCGAGCCCACTGGAAAGGTCTTCCCCAGCCCTCAGGATCCACTGTTCTGGAAGCAGGTAAGGAGACACGACCCACAGGTATGGATAGGAGTCCTGCCTGTGGCTAACCTGATGCCGTGGTGTTCAGGGGACAGAGTGAAGCCCATGGTGGCCCGAAGGCTGGAGTCGAACAATATGGGGCAGAAGCAGCTCACTGGCTGCACCTTCTCACAGTGTCAGGCTCTTTCTGATCATGAAAGTGGCCTTGCCCTCAATTTCATGTGCCAAGGAGCTGGGTGACTCACGGAGCCCTCAATCCGCAGTTGTTAAAATATGTCAGGCCTCCATCTGCTCCCCAGTCTCAGCCCCCGGGCAGCCACCTGTGACTATACCTTCCTTAGTCAACAACCAAGTCAATATACTGGGGACATTTGGTGGGTAAAAGCTGTTGAGGATCTTGGGGGGCTGTGTGCTTTTTCTGGCACCAGGATCAAGGTGGCTAACACAGGCATGCATAATCGTGGGAGCAACCCCTCCTACTTAGGCAGCCTTGCTAGTCTTCAAACATTTTTGTACACATGATCTCATTGATCCCTGCAAGTATTTTATAAGCTGGGGAAGACAGAAATATTCACCCTGGGGCACAGAGAGGCTTACCCAGGCAGAGACAACAAACAGGTGGAGCTCAAGCCATTCCGCAATTCCTTTGCTAGTGGCAGACATCATTAATCAATCACGCCACTCCTTCCAGTTCATCTGGGATGAGGCCTCAGAACATCTCAATAGAACCCTTCAGGCAGCCACTACCAATCGATTAAGGACTGCCATCCTAGGTGTAGTAGACGTCAACTACCTAATCAGCTGGGTGACCTTGGGCAATTCTTACTGGTCTTCCCAATGGAAAAACAGGAAGATGGACTAGAAGTCCTGTGTTTCTGTGGGATGGCCTGTTGGTAAGTCCTGTCTCATCCTTCTTTGCTCCTTTCCACACAGTGGTAGCTCAGTATCTTGTTACCTCTTGCATGGGACCCCTTGGTGATCTCCTTTCTGGGCTCTAGTGCATTGTGGAAACTGTTGCCTGTTTACCTTTCCTAACATTGTCTGCTCAAGAACTTCCACAGGGAGGGGAACATCATGTACTGGGGCCTGTCAGGGGGTGGCGGGTAAGGGGAGGGAGAGCATTAGGACAAATACCAAATGCATGAGGGGCTTAAAACCTAGATGACGGGTTGATGGGTGCAGCAAACCACCATGGCACATGCATGCCTATGTAACAAACCTGCAAGTTCTGCACATGTATCCCAGAACTTAAAGTAAAACAAATAAATAAATAAAAGAACTTCCAAAGGCTCTCCATGCCCTTCCCAAGAGAGTCCCACTGCAGAGTGGCCATGCTCTGGCCTTTCTCTTCATCTCCAAACTCAATGCCAAGATTCCTCTTTACCCATCTCAGCTTTCAGCCAAAGGGCACATCCATTTGTTCCTGTATGTGGCCCACACTATCCCCATCCCACCCCTGGGCCTTTGCCCATGCTGTTCCCTGTGCCTGGGGGTGCCTGCTGTCACCACCATTCCTCGTATCTGCTTCTTAAAACCTCCTCCATCTTAAAGGTCATCTTAGTCAATGCTACCACCTGCTTGACAACTTCATGAACTCTCCATAACAGGGGGTGCCCACTCCTTCCTCTGAAATATTAGTGCTTTTTTTTTTCTCCTTCCACATGCCTGTTCCTGCCCCTCCCTCAACCTTCCGACTTACTACCTAGGAAACTCCAGGTGACTCACAGCCAGCACGCTGGGCAACAAACAGGAGACTTGCCTTCCTTTCCAATAGCAGTCATGATGGAGGCATTTCCCGAGACCTACTATGCACAAGATGCCAGGGTGGTGGGGAGGAGCATCTGGCAGGGGCTCTTGGCTGCCACTGGAGTTCTTTCTTCCTAGGGAGGGATGCAGCCATCAGAGGGGTGGCGTTAGTTGTGAAGGGGGATGGGCTTTGCAATGTCTGCACTTCTAAGGGCTATGAAGAGAGGGAAGAGAAAGACTGAGGCCAATGAGGGAACAAAACTCCTTTCTTCTCTCTAGAAAGTCCATGTCTTCCTCCTCCCCAGGATCCCTCACTAACCATGCACTCTTACAGAGAACTTGCTGGAAACAGTGAGGACCCAGACTCTGCCTTAACCATAGTAACAAAAGTGACAGACACTCACAGGCCTTAGTGCTCCTGCTCAGGCTGTTCCTACTATGGGGGCTGTACTTCCACTCCCTCTCCTCAACCCCCCTCTAGGTCCTCCTACCTCAGTGCCACCTCCTCCAGGAAGGCTTCCCTGACCACCCCACCTGGAAATGGCCTGTGCACGTGGACTTCCTTAACCCTTTCACTTAGCCTCTGGTAGAGTATTCAGCCAGTCCCACCTCCCTGTGGTCACTTATGTTCAAGTGACACTGCCATCACCTAGTTCCATAAGGTCTTTGAGGCTAAGGTCTGTTTCTGAGCCTCCCTGACTCCCCTGGGCTTAGATATGCTGACACATTGGGCAACCAGAAAGATCTGTCGTGGAAAATGAGCAATGAGAACCAGGTGTGAGGCAGAGGCTCTGGAGGATGTCTCATGGTGTCCTTTCTAGGAAGTTGTCTAACCCTTGCCCTGCCTTCCAGGGGAAAGGGCCTGGAAAAGCCAGCTGGGCCTCAGAGAGCAGGAGAAAAAGACTTTGGCATTCTCCGCTGCTCCTCCTGGCTGAATACCTTCATGCCGAATTCAAGGGAGTGATCATAAAAACCAAAGCCTCCTTGACTTATTTCTAGGGCCAAAGCCAGGTGTCTGGACTTCCCCTCATCCCTGCTCTCACACCTGCAACACCAATGGGCCTCAGGCTATTTCACCTGGAGTAGGGAGGACCCATGAAGATGCCAGCTAACTCAGAAGGGCTGTGTGGCAGCCCTGGGTTAAATCCTAGCTGACACTAACCAGCTGGTGACTGTGGGCAAGGGGCTTAGTCTTTCTGAGCCTCCATTTCCTTCTTTTATATTTTACTTTTATTTTTTGAGACAGGGCTTGGCTCTGTCACCCAGGCTGGAGTGCAGTGGCACAGTCACAGCTCATTGCAGCCTCAACCTGCTGGGCTCAAGCAATCCTCCCGCCTCAGCCTCCCAAGTAGCTGGGACTACAGGTGTGCACCACCACACCTGTCTAAATTTTGTATTTTTTGTAGATATGGGGTCTCACTATGTTGCCCAGGCTGGTCTCGAAATCCTGAGCTGAAACGATCCACCTACTTCAGCCTCCCAAAGTGCTGGGATTACAGGCATGAGCCACCGTGCCCGGCCCCATTTCCTTCCTTTCTTCCTTTATTTATTTATTTTATTTATTTTTATTTTATTTTATTTTATTTTATTTTACTTTATTTTATTTTATTTTTGAGACAGTCTCGCACTGTTACCCAGGCTGGAGTGAAGCAGTGCAATCTCTGCTCACTGCAACCTCCGCCCTCCCAAGTTCAAGTGATTTTCCTGCCTCAGCCTCCTGAGTAGCTGGGATTACAAGTGCCCGCCACCACACCTGACTAATTTTTTCTATTTTTAGTAGAGACGGAGTTTCACCATGTTGGCCAGGCTGGTCTTGAACTCCTGACCTCGTGATCCACCCGCTTCGGTCTCCCAAAGTGCTGGGATTACAGGCATGAGCCACCGCGCCTGGCCTCCTTCCTTTAAAATGGAGCTAATAATCACAACAAGACAACACCATAGGATTCCACCCATGTGAGGTTCCCAGAGTAGTAAATTCATAGAGACAGAAAGTAGAATAGTTGCTAGGCGCTGGCGGAGGAGAGGATGGGGAGTTGGTGTTTAGTGGGCCCCGAGTTTCAGTTTGCGCTGATGGAAAGTTCTGCAGATGGAGGGTGGTGATGGTTGCACACCAATGCGAATGTTCTTTCTACTGAACTGTACACTTAGAAATGGTTATGAAGGGCTGGGCGTGGTGGCTCATGCCTGTAATCCTAGCACTTTGGGAGGCCAAGGTGGGTGGATCACGAGGTCAGAAGATCGAGACCATCCTGGCCAACATAGTGAAAACCCATCTTTACTAAAAATACAAAAAATTAGCCAGACGTGGTGGCGGGCATCTGTAATCCCAACTACTCGGGAGGCTGAGGCAGGAGAATTGCTTGAACCAGAGAGGCGGAGGTTACAGTGAGCTGAAATCACGCCATTGCACTCTAGGGTGGGCTAAAGAGTGAGACTTTGTCTCAAAAAAAAAAAAAAGAAAAAAAAATGGTTATGAAGATGAATTTTCGGTTACATGTATTTTATTCCAATTAAACATTTTCAAAAATCTTTTAAAAAATGGAGCCAGTGAGAGCACTTATCTTTACCTCAGGGGGTTGTGGTGGGAATCGATGAGCAGATCCCACCATCACTGTGTCTGGTGTCTGGAATGGAAAGGACACTTAATAAGTCCTGTCCCCTATCCCCTGCTTCCCGGTCTCTCTCCCGGGAGGGGAGGCCAGGGTCCCTGTGGCTGAGGCTGCAGCGTGTGTCAGGAGGCGGTGGCCCAGCTGCTCGCAGTGGAGGCAGTGAGCTCCCTGACAGAGGCAGTGTGTGACTGGCAGAGGCCAGGCCAGACAACTACACGTGGCGGTGGATGTGGGCCCTGAGCTCCCTTCTCACCTGAGGGTTCAGACAGTTTCTCAGCTCGACCTGTCTTGCCCTACCCTGCCACCATCTTCAGTGGCTGCACTAGGGTGTCCTGGTCATTCTGTCCTCTGCCAACCAGACCACGTCTGGGAGCACCCGCCACACGCCTCCCTGGGCCAGGCAGGCTGTAGGGACTATGACCAGCCTCCAGGAGGGTCAGGTGGAGGTGAGCAAGGGAGGGAACAGTGGCAGAAGCAGTAAGACAGGTGGCACCTCCTGGGTCCTGCATTGGGGACAGAGCAGGGACAGGAGGAGCAAGGTGAAAAGAATGGTAAAAACTGCAGGGCAGGCAGGCATGGGCTCCATCTAGCCCTCCTGTCTCTGAACCGGTCTCATCCTCTGGAAAGGGGCTGATCATAGCGCCTCTTCCATAGGGCTGTGACAATAGATGACACTATGCAGAAAGCGCTCGGAGCACAGCGGACCCTCAACAAATGGTGATGGATGTCGGTTGTTAGTTTTTGAGTGTTGAGTGATGTGTGTGTGTGTGTGATTTGTTTTTGACAGAGAGAGTCAGAGAGAAGAGCCCAGTCCTCACCTCAGGAAGCTGGCATCCCTCCTGGGGCAAGATGTCTTCCATCTTGAGGGCATCAAGATTGCCCTCCCCACCGCTCAGCCACTACCACTGCCGCCTCCCTTCTTCAGAGCAGGATAAGAAGCCCAGAGACCCAGATCCTCAGAACTTCTGCGAGCCCCTAAAGAAGTCCCCTTTTCAATAGTCCTTCTTCGCTGTACAGTCCTCCTTCCCTCTTCTCAGCCCAAGAAGAGCCCCTCCCTGCCCACTCACCATAGAGGGTCCTTGGCTCCGCTGACCTGCCAGATGTAAATGGAAAGCACGCTCCATTTTCTTTGTCCCAGGGGAATTTACTCAAGCATAGAAAACTCTCAGTCAAGAGGAAACCTCTGCTGCTTGTCAGAAAGCAATTCAGAAGTGACAAATTCCCAGGAGGAGTATTGGAAACCCACCCCAGGACAGCCCCTGGAAGGTAACAGTGGAGAGTACAGTGGTAATCAATTCTCTGTTTAACTTTCTGTGAGCACCCCCTAGTTCCCAGTCAGAAGCCAGGAGGGTATGGTTTAGGCGAGGTTAGGGTTCAAACGAGACTGAAAGCCAGGCTCAGCCCCTACAGTTTCCCACTGGCATGGTGACAATAATCATCACAACGATTGTACAGTAACACCGACAATAAGAAAGTTTATATCTTTCACCCACTTTTTGATGAGATGGTTTGTCTTCTTGTTACTGAGTTGTAAGAGTTCATTGTAAATTCTGAATGGAAGTACTTTCCTGGGCATATGTTTCACCAAAAAACAAACAAACAAACAAACAAAGGCTAACATATATTGTGTACTTTTGTGGGTTGCAACAGTGTTCTTAGCACTTTGTCCTCAGTTAGTTCCCTCAGTCTTTACCATGACCAATGTAATTGACACTATTATTACTCCCATTTTACAGAGGAGGAAAGTGAGGCTCAGAGGAGGGAAATCCAAGCCACATAGCTGGCACATGGAGAGTGAGGTCCCAGAGCCCACCTCACAGCCCCCCAAGCGCAATCATAAAGGAGACAAACCCCTTGCCTCAGACACCTGTGGGAGTCAAATGAACCAGTGTGTACAATGGTACTTAGTAAACTGTGAGTGTGAGTTAGGAATAAAATAATGGGTTCCTGGATGGGCGTGGTGGCTCACGCCTGTAATCCCAGCACTTTGGGAGGCCAAGGCAGGCAGATCATGAGGTCAGGAGTTCGAGACCAGCCTGACCAATATGGTGAAACTCCGTCTCTATTAAAATTACAAAAATTAGCCAGGCATGGTGGCGCGCACCTGTAATCCCAGCTACTCCGGAGGCTGAAGCAGGAGAATCACTTGAACCTGGTATGCAGAGGTTGCAGTGAGCCGAGATCATGCCACTACACTCCAGCCTGGGTGACAGAACAAGACTCTATCTCAAAAATAAATAAATAAAAATTAAAAAAAAAGGAATCCCTCTCTAGAGGTCTCCCCCAAACCAAACACATAATCCACCTTTTTCTTCATGAAGTCAGCAAGGTCAAACCTTCTCAGAGGAGGCCAAGAAAGGAGTGGGCTGAGTGGGAACTGGGCTGGACTCATTAAAACCAGTCCGCATTGCTTTGATCTGAACAGAGCTGGTTTGATCCAGTTAGATTTATCCAGAACCCCTTAGAACCAGTCAGAATTTGTTTTAAAAGGTCCAAATTGGTATGATCCAGTCATATCATGTTAGAACCAGTTTACATCCTGAGATGATCGACGTTGGAACTGGCTTGGACTGGTTAGAAGCAGATTGAACTGCTTCTGTGACTGGCTGGAAGCAGCCACTGGCTCTGGTTTTACACCAGCACGCTTCAGTAATGTGTTTATTCAAAGCTGGGTTGCAGTGGGATGAGATGTGAGTGGGAAGAGGGAAGTGGCTTTGGAAGGTCAGAGAGTTACAGCCAAGCTTGGCTCTGCCTGGGGAGGGCCTTGAATGCCGAGCTGAAGTGCATATGATGTCACGTCTATTTTCAAGCCATACATAACCCTGCGGGGTGCTACACAGGCTGCTTGCTGTAAATCAATTCGCCTCTCACCCAGTGATTAATGGGAGGGAAGCTTTCATCACTTGTTCTGGGTAAGTTATTGCATGTGGAAACACATCTTTGATTTTATAAGTTCTTGCTAGAG